CTGGACACAAGGGGAGTATTATAAATGCTATCTTCTGTGGCAGACGAAAAAACATGTAGGTAGTATTTACTTCCTGTTTTATGGCGGATGTGTACAGCACATGGCTAAAAAAGACATCTTGAGCAATCCTCCTGCTTTGTGTATTCCTACAACACATTTTGTTTTTATGCACATCGTTTTAAGGCACATCTTGCCACAGCACTCTCCTGCTAAATGGATTGGCAGCACTTAACCTCGTCTCCCGAAAAGAGCTTTGTGAATTTTCAATTTTGCTCCAGCTCTGAATCGCTTCCCCCACCACCACCACCACCACCACTACCATCAAATACACACACACAGAGACAAGGACACACGTACAGAGACGTGTAGCCTCTTTTCAAGGCTGAATATAAAATTACCCATGACCATCATCTCCCTCCCTCGAGAAAACATCAAGACTGCACAGTGGTTCCAAAACAGTCGGCTTTAATCATCCCTTGATCTCTCTTTGTCCGTCCCTTCCTCTCTGCTTCCTTCCTTCCCTGCCTAAAACACCCAGTAATGACAAGACAGCATCATCACAACAACAAATGAAACCAAAACAACTTTTAGCCAGCTTATTTTCCCCCTTCTTCTTAATAATCATGGCAATGTGGATGTGATGCTTTTTCTTCACAACAATGACACTTTAATGTGATTAAAACACAGGAAGGGGTGGAGGTGGAGACCATACTGGAATGTGTTTTCTGCAAAGTGAGAAACAGTGAACATGCAAAGTGGGGGAGTACGGTCATTCTTATTTTAAAATCAACAAAAGTGCTCATCAATCTGCTGAGGCACGTCTCTAGGGATGGACGTGAAAGCAAACAGAGCCCTCTCCCATTAAAACACAGCGGGCAATCTTCCTGATGCTATGCAGGGTTATTAACCGGGAACCACGCACAAAGGCACAGCGGTCAACACAGGCGAAGACAACACGGTAAATCACAGCAAGCAAACGCACACACAAACACAACTGCTTGTGTGAAGAACCACTCTAAAGTTTCTTTGTAAAGAGAAGAGGCGGAGTTCAAAAGAGACAGACTGAGGCAGACAGACAACGATGGGAACATAGACAAAGCTAATCTGGAGAAATAAAGCTTTTGTTTTTGTGGGAGTACCTGTGGAAGTGTGCGTAATCACAGTTTTGGCTTAGCTCTTTTGAAGCTCTTGTGGGGATATGAGGATGAAAAGCGGGGGGGGGATCAACTTTTCCATCTCCCCTGTGAAGCACATCATACTTGCTAACTAGCTTCAAACCAGCATTAACCATGCAACCTCCCATCTGCTGATGCCCAGATGCTAATTGCCCAGCTCACCAGCCAACATCAGTGTGTATGACACTGCTGTAATTGACTTTGATTGGTAATTCACTGCAGATAATAACAACTCGTGAGTATGTGAAAGGCTGGTGGGCTCAAATCCCCTTCTCAATGATTACTTAATGGACTTCATGACACAAGCAAAGCACAGCATGCCCTTTTATTTTAACTGACTAATGTTTAACTGGTGCCCCGCTGGTTGTTCGGGTTGAGTGAAAGCCAGTCAAACCACAAGAATGCACCCTGGCTGTAAACAGACTCCAGCTTTGGACATTTAACACTGCCGCTCGATGATGCGATGCATGCTGCATTGTGACCACTTGTTTGTACGAGGATTACTGCCAGGGACTTGTGGTGAGAGGAGGTTTTAAGCGAGAAAGGAAGTCCTATTCTATAGAATTTGAAGTGATGACAAACAAACAAACCCATTTCAGAGCGTGCTCCAACGTGTCCAGAGGAATGCCACTCATTCCGTCTCAGTGCTTCACTCCATCACTGCCACACACCTTTTCACAAGCACCCGAAGGGGAATGATTCACCCCAATAATTACAGCCCCTCCATTCCAAGACAACTCCCTCAGAGGTCTAAATGACAAGGAGGCAAACATGGACTTGTTCACCAAAAGCAGCCACCATCACTCTGTCACTCACAGATATATGAGCTAAGGTTAATAGTGTTGTGTGGTGGTGTGCTTACAGGTAACAGTACTCACTATGTTCCAATTTGTGGTTTTGCAATTGCACTATTCCTGATGAGTGAACGTATACCATGGCTTTTAAAACGTTTGCACTTATGCAATGCACATGTGTATGCTTGCAGAAGACCCAAACCAAGTGCCCCAAGACAGTAATAAAAGAGTACCCCACCCCTCATGGCTAAACGGATCTTTTCTGGCCTAATACCATAATAATTACTCATCTCCAGGGGGTGTACTTGTGATGGTGTGCTGGCAGGGGGGCACAGAAATTAAAAGTGAGGAAATGACTGTGGGTATTAGAGAGATGATAGACAAAGAGGCTGACGCTGCGTGTTCAACTTAAACACCTTGAACTCTGCTGATGCTTGTCACTACGATTATTTCCACCGGTTCCTGATCACTTTGGAGTCTCAACAGTTTAGCTTAAACTCTTCCGACATGTGACTCTCCTTTTGTCTCTTAACCTTAATGTCACTTTGATCTTTTTATCCCCCGAAAGCAAAAAAAAAGACATCTAAATTAGAAGAAGTTTAGCAATGGTAGCATTAGTGAGAAGTGAGCTACTTTATGTAACCGTATCACTACCTTCAGAGTGTTGGAATGTATTTTCGTAAACATCCGCTTAGAAATAGTGGTTCTAATTTAAGCGACTATGCTAGCACATACTTAAGACACCCGAAATGAAGCTATATTTCAGCCTGTTTTGACTGTTGATGGCTGCGATGCGATGGAAAAGGGAATGGCATCTCTGGAGCGCAGAAGAGGAGCCATTTACCCACATGTCTGGGTGAGAGGGTCAAAGTGTCAGCACCTTGGGACACCTCTTTCTGTCATCCAGCTTATATCCATGTGTCACAGCTATACATAAAAACAGGCACACATGCTCAGAAATATGTCGTCACACAGACGGCGACACACATCTGGGTATAACACGTCCCGCAGTTATTTGTTGTGCACTGCTCTGCTGAGAACTGACATACTTGCCAGTGTGTGACCAGTAATTGTAAGAATGTGGGTCTGTGTGACAGAATCCCGGTGGGACCCAACAAGAGCTGCTGCTATTATTAGTCAAAACTATGCTTCAAAAAGAGGGAGGGGATTTGGGAAACTCTCAGAAGAAATCAACACATCTAAAGTATAATAATGAATTTCCATCCCAGAGACTTCACCCGGAGCTGAGCCTTTAAATCAATGCACCTCAGTTGTACAGAGGGATGTTTGATCTACAAGGGGGTAGCTAAGCATAAGCACTTGTTAAAAGGCCACATGAAAGACAGACAAACAGCAGAGCACAACAACCGTCTGAGGTCAGAGTCGTGAAAAAGGGTGGTGTAAAGAGGAAAGTTGGAAGACGATGGGAAGAAAAGCTAAACCAGGTCAATGTGGAGGTGAATGCTGATAGAAGACTATGTTTTTATGAAATCAAAAGTAATTGCTTTGCTCTGAAGAGCTGCAAAATCAATGCGAAATAGAGATGCAGTGAGTACAGTGAGGGAGGGAAAAGGAGAGGGAGGGGAGTCGCCCAGCCCCGCCCTTCAGCTCATCCTGCTTCAAACCCACCGGCTGCTGCACAGGCAAGGAATAAGTAATAACTTTCACAAAATGCCCACAAAGCATTCTAGCAAATTGGATCGTGACAAACACACACACACACACACAACCGCATATATCCACTCAAGACAGTGACATATATGTCTAAGTGAACACATGAAAAACTAAAATAAAGACATAAAACAAGTAATCTATTGTGCATTTTATGAGGACAATATATATCTTGAAAACTAGGGTGACACTAAAATAGGTTTTGGAACACTATAAAGTACAGTAAAGTCATAATCTCCCTATAGCAGTGATGTGAATCCTTCTGGGACAGATGGAGGAAGATTATGGGGGATAGATCTCCATGGCAAGTGTAAAACAAGGTCAGTAACAAACTTGTAGAGCACCACAGCAACTCCTAAAATGGATATATACTTGGTTTTGGTCAGATATCAAAAACTTTCCTTTGTCAAAGATCATATAAGGTAAATTGGATTTAAATTGGCTTAGTACTGGAGGGTGAGGCGCGCTGCCAGCAAAAAGAGACGCAAATCCAGCAGATCAGACATCAAAGAGCTGGGAACTGCACCCAGCAGCCAGACATGGGATGAGACTGAGACAGGCTTCAAAACAAAAGCCCAACATCTATTACTGCTGGGCAAGTACATAGATATGCGTCCAAAAACATATTGGAAGCTTATTTTTGGTAGATTTTTCCTTAAATCCACACTTTATCTTGGCAAAGGTTTTCCACTATGTGTTTTATTGTGACATTTCAATGTGTTTTATTGTGGCTGCAGGCAGCACAGAGGTGGCCTGCTGTTTGGTCCCCTATTAGATTGGCAGCGGTGTGCGGCAGCCCTGCTTAAGAAGTGCACTAAAGTGCGGAGCTGAGATTTAGCGCACAACTACAAAGAGACACCATTAACCCTTAAAACATCCTATATAAACTAGATTACATTAAGGCTTCGTATAACACGTACCATAGGAGCATGCAACTTGACAAATAATGCCGAGTAGGCTGTTTTTGAGTTCAGTTTGCTACTGTTGAAACAAATAGGCTGGCTCGCTGCATGGGATTTCGGGATAAATCCGGTTTTCCACCTGCTGTCGGCGTGTTTTGGTTTATCTGAGCAGCCGGTAACAGGTTGCTCAACATCAGCCAGAAATATTAAACAAACATGAACTACACAGTGTGGTAGTCACAGTCTGCGGTGGAAGTGAACTACTTGCTTCTTACTGCGGCTTGTACGGACAGGTTCGTCCTGGAAGTAGCGGAACTCCCGGGAGAAGAAAGTAAAAAATCTGCAGCCATGAAAAACTAACCTGCACCGGATCGACAGCGTTGAAAAGTTCCAAAAACGGGAGTATGATTAAAAAATTAAAAGATTAAAAGGTATCGGGAAGTATCAAAGAGACTTACCTTGAAATGCCCACAGCAGCAAGGTGCACAGGAGCGACGTGCGTCCAAATGTTATCCCGTCCATGGCCGCTTTTTCTAACTTTTTCAAGTATTCACTTTGTTTTTTTGGTTGTAGAGTTGTGGAAATGTAGCAGCAGCGAGTCCTCTTTCTTCTTTCAATGCTCCAAAGCTTTCTGGACTACTCTCTCTCTCTCTCTCTCTCTCTCTCTCTCTCTCTCTCTCTCTCTCTCTCTCTCTCTCTCTCTCTCTCTCTCTCTCTCTCTCTCTCTGCAAAAGGAGTGCCTCTCTCTCTCTCCCTCACTCACACACAGAAATCTGATGCTGGTGGCAGTCTTCTTGGTTGATATATTTGCACAAAAGGTGACCCCCCCTCTTCCTCTCGATACAACCCCCTCCTCTCTCTCTCTCTCTCTCGCTCTCTCTCTCTCTCTCTCTCTCTCTCTCTCTCTCTCTCTCTCTCTCTCTCTCTCTCCTCTCTCTCTCTCTCTCTCTCTCTCTCTCTCTCTCTCTCTCTCTCTCTCTCTCTCTCTCTCCACCTCTCTTGCAGTGAAAAGACCTGCTTGGCTAATCGCACAGGGTCCACTGGGGCCCGCTGATTTCTTGAAAGAAACTTAAAAGTGATTTTATCATGAGGCTCTCTCGTTGCAACATCAGAAACCTTCCCTCATACAAAATTACTAAAGGATGAACATTCACTAGAGAACAAATCTAGACTATAAGCTCACATTAATTTAGTAGCCTACAGTATATTGTTGTCCTTATTAGCTCATTAATTACAGTTATGTTTGGATTTGTTTAGAGTATTACCAACATGGCCTACTTAACAGCTTTTACATTTCATTTTTTTTTTATTTGGCCTACTTAGGAATTATGGGGGTAATGGAACATCATTTAAAAAAGCCAATTACCCTAAATAAAATAGGCTGTAGAGCAATTATCTGTTGATTAAGGGGAACATAGACAATACAATTAATTGTATTCCCTATTCCCTGAAGGCTAATAAATGCATCCGACAGGTTACTATTTCAAAAGGTTTTGATCTCACCCAAAAACGAATTGGTTGATCTTTAGCTACTTTGTTCCACAGACAAATTTCCTGCCCTGGTTAGACGTTTGACGTTGTCTCAAATGATGATTTTCAAAACAACTGGAGGCAATTTCTTAGGAGTTGGCTAAGCTGTCTTACATTGACAGACATACCATTCATTCCTAGACATGTAATCCTTTTCAAATCTGTTTGGGTATTTAGAGGGTATGGTAAAAGGGTATTTGGGTATTTACAGTTCAGATATACAGTTATCATGACGACTAAGTGGCTTATACACAATGCTATAATAGCAGTCTGAGTGCTTAGAGTGGCTACTGTTTGACCCATGAAGTTGAATTAGGCCAAATCCCATAAACTAGCAGTTAGAAAGCATAAACACATCAATCCCCGATAAGATGGCTTAATGGAACCACTGCCCATCTAAGTGCACAACACAAACATCTAGGTCCTTTTAGTTTCTTTCTACTGGAGACTGTGGAGCAACACTCAATAATCGGCACACCCTGCAGGTAATAATAGTCCCTGGCTGAGCAGTTGCATTCAAAGACACACATTCCAAACATACTTGGTCCAAAAAACAGCTGGTTAATATTTTCTCAGCCTCGCTCGAAGAGGAGAGCCGATACTCGCTATAATGCACCGTACACACAGGACAGTTGGTAGATGGATGCCTGGAATACACACTTCAATGGGACAGATATGCATGGTGGAGGGTTAAAATGGGCGTCTACCAATCAGAGGGTGAGTGGTTCAATCTACAACCCTGCAGTCAACATGTCAAAGGGTCCTTGGGCGAGATACCGTAGGCGTGTCTATGGTATTGAAGTGTTTAAGTCGCTTTGACAGAGGCAGCTAACCATCACATCGTTTGATTTCTCTGAATCTCTATTCCTATTCCCGGCAATTACAGCGGATTGGAAAAAGTCCTTGCACTGACTATCCAACATCAATAAAGCCACTCATCCCTGATATCGACCCAGTCATAATCATCTCTCCATGCTGTAGAGACATGAGATCCACTAACAAGACTTCTGTCCCGTCGTGAGGCATATAGCGCTGCATAACCCTCACACTGCCTTACATCAGACCTGTTTCATGCCGCATTGCTGTGGCTAATGCTGATCTAGCAGAGCGTGGGGCATTCTTACGTAAGGTCTTACAGTACAGTAGCAGTGGCTGTGATTTACTGTATTGGCTCATTACCTAATGGAGCTGCAGGGGAGGAGGGGATGGTTGAGGACAAAGAATAAAAGACGATATCAAAAGTAATGTGAAAGGAGAGTAGAGGGGAAAGTATACGGGAAGGAAAGGGGTAAATACAGAAGGGGAAGAGAGGCAGGAAGTGAAGAATAAAGAGGAAGCAGGAATGAAGATGCTGATGGAGTCATTTGTTGACAAACTCCAAAGTCAGTCATGGTGACAAATGGCTCCTTATTGTCTCAGAGATCAGCTTTAGTTAACACAGGTGAAGGAGTAACACAGGTGCATGGGCTTGAACATCATCTGGAGGTTGCCCTGTACCTGGTTTTTAAAAGTAGTAGTAGTGTCAGACAGGTGTTGTTTCTAAATGACAGGGTTGTCATGCCTGTTCAGACAGTATGCTTTATGTTGCTTAACATAATCCACCAAGTGCAGAGCACCGTTAGAATGTATTATCTTACAACCATGTGCCCCATACCTGGCATTAAAGATTATATGTCTTCAACTGTATGCTCACTTTCTGTAAATGAAACTATAATAATACTGTTCATTCACTTAGGACAACATAAGTGGCAATCCAGCATTTACCAGCAGAGTACCCTGGGCTTAAGACGTGCTCACGCTGGCACAATCTGTTTGTATCATTAAAAAGTCCAAATACAAAACCATCAGTGCCATATCACCAGCAATTACAAGAAACCAATGCAGATCAACAAACCAGACACTCCCAACTCTGCGGCTAGAGATTGTTTTCATTAATTACTGGTAGGACAAAACTTTGGCAGATCCCAATAACAACAGTTTGCGAAATCAGATGCATACTCCCAGCATGCTGGAATAAGTTTTCCTGGGAAAGTTGAGCAGTGCCATACCCCAATAGGCCTAATAACTATGGTTTATGGGCACCAATTTTCTAGAAATGGGAACCACAGACCGCATCTACCCCTCAATAAGCACATTTAACAGAATATGTGGGCTACCTTATCTGGTATTTTGGTCATTAAAGACCAACCATAAGTCCTTCAATGTGTCAGCTGCTTCAGGAGTCGAATAGGAAAACAAAAATAATGGTTTTCAGAGGCCAGTGGTGCCGTTGTTACATTGCGCCTGAAAGAGCTCCATGATGAGAGCAACGTAGAGACAAAGCATAGTGATTCTAGTAGAATCACTATGCTTTGGGTTCCATATTGAAAACATCTTTCACATATGCACTTGTACTCCTCTCAGACATGTAAATCAAATCAAATCAAATCAAAGTTTATTTATAAAGCACATTTAAAAGCGATTTTTGGTCGGGCCAAAGTGCTGTACATGTAATAAATACTACAATCACATAAAAACACATTACTACAATCACAATAAAAGACAATAAATTACAACAGATATATAAAAAACACAGGGAAAAGTCAGGAGTCGTGCTCCGCTCTGACTAAAACCAGAGCGGAGCACGACTCCTAATTAAACCAGTTGGGTTCCACTTTAAGGGGTCGCCAAAGTTATTACAATTCATCCCGAGGGGGTCATTACTGTTACACAGTAAATTTCTCTGAGTAAAATTGACTCAAATTGAAGAAAATTTTACTCTAAAAATATAACATTTGGTCCCAACCTATATAGAGTAAAATGTACTCTTTGTTCAGAGTTGTATTTTTAGAGTTCATTTTACTCTATTATGTGCTTAGATTTGACTCTGCTTAATGGTTATTTACTCTATGTAGTGTATATTAAAAACAACTCTACTGCCATTTTACTCATAATAGAAGGTAATTTTACTCCCAATAGAATGTAATTTCACTCCCAATAGAAGGTAATTTTACTCAGAATAGAATAAATGAACCATAATGATCTTTACAATATAAAAGGTCAATAAACCAAAGTGCTTAAGGAACATGAGTGGGCGTGTGTGAAGCTGACCATTGAGCGGCCCAACCAAGCAAGGAGGCAGAGGCAGAGAGTTCAAATACAACCCGGTGTGGGCATTTATTCCTCTTTGTGGTACAGGATACACAGCCTCAATATGACTGTCTCACGTGAACACAGTCACCAGCCACCAGGACCTCACACACACACACTAACAGGAAAACAGAACCTAAATACACACAGGACTAATCAAACCAACAAGACACAGGTGAGGAGGGAGGAGAAACACAGGGCACCAGGTGAACGCAATCACCAGCAACAGACAAGACGGGAGGGGGAACACTTTTCAAACTAAAACAGGAAACAGAGACAGACAAACTAAAACATAGACAGATTGTGACAAATATATGCATAAATGACATATAATCACATGCTTCCTGTGCAATGTTTTAGCGTGGAACAAATGAATATACTTCGCCAATAATGAAGCTATATAATCCGTAACGGAGACCGAGATCAATGGCCCCAGAGATCACCTCCGTTACAGCGTGGTCATGGTTTAACTCCAATAGAATTGACTCTGCATTTTTGATCGCACTCTAGAAGCTATGAGTAATAAATACACTCCAAAATGATTAAATATCACTATTTCAGAGCAAAATAGTAATTACTCTGGAAAAAATACTCACCAATATTTCCTGTGTAGTAACACATTTCATGGTAATTCATTCAAAAGCTTTTCACATACAGAAGTCAACATGCAAGCAAATCCTGCTTGCACTGACTGTTGTCAGCATTTCGATACTTCAAGAGAAATGATGCAGCTCCAAGACCTTACTCGTTGAATGTTCTTTTAGGCAAATTGTCACTCCTTGCACAATATAAATCAGAGAGCCCACTTTATAGTCCCTTGTTTTATATGATTGCTCATCCCCACCCCATGTAAAAAATGAGGCTACCTGACAGGCAGAATATTTGATACGTCAGCCCAAAGCAAGGGGGATAAAGAGAAACAGAGACATGGCGGCACTACAAAGGGAAGAGAGATGTGTAATGAAAGAATAATGAAGGGAACAGATTAGAAGTGGAGGAGGGGAGAACTTTAATTCCAAAGTGAAGGGAGGGGTAATGCATAGCCTCGAGGACTA